GACAGAGAAGCTTTTGTGCCAGGAATTATTTCCTAGTGACTGGCTTGGAAATGTCAAACTGTTGAAAACAACACATAAATTTGAGTTCCTCTGAAATTATTTTTCTCAAAACAGAGTAAAACATGTAGCAGAATATTCTATTTCCATGAGAAAATCAGGGGGAAATCCACAGAAGTGCATCATTTTGCCTGATTTAATCAAACTTTTAAGAAAGTGAAAGAAAAGCTGAAAACTCTCTGCACTCATTTTCTCTCTTAAAGTTACACTGCTGTGAAGCCAAGATAATCTGTCTTTATCTCTATTTGATTTAGTTGGACACTTTGCAGCTCATCTTTTATGTAGATACCACTCCTTATTTTTTGGTTTGCTATTTTTTCCTTTTTTGTCTACTTCAGATGCAGCTCATATTTGTAACATTTTTTCCCTCTCTCTTCTGTTAAAATGCCAGGATAGCAGCCCTGGAGTGCTGGTCCAAAGGCAGCCGAGATGCTGAGTCTGTCCACTGCTGTTCTGTTCACATGCCATGACTGTCCAGCTGTGGACACTACTAGGATGGTTTATTTGTGACCAAAATTGCAATTTGCCTCCTTCCTAAAGTAGCTGCTGCCTCTAATGAAGTTAAATGGCTACTAGCAGAAAAATAATCTATCTCCACATCTCTTCACCTGCAGGCTATCTGTAGCTGGATTTCTGATGCTCCTGAGGAAATGCTGCCCTCCCATGCTGGACATGGGATGAGTTTTGCTGATCTGAAGCCAAACAAGGCTGCTGTGCTCAGCCAGGTACTTTTATTTATTTCTTTTCACCTGTTTAGAGCGCAGACTGGGTGCAAAGTGTCCAGATTTTGTTCCAAGGTGGCAAGCCCTGTCACGGCTCTCAGCATGTGTCAGCCACCCTGTTCCCACAGCAGAACAGTGGAGATCTTTGCCAGGGCAAGCAGAGTTTTGAAGGGGGCATTTGCCAACACCAGCATCTTCTGCCAGTACAAATCACCTTGCATGGGACTGTGGTAGGCACAGAAAATTGGAGCAACCTGCCTTTGTTCTGCAGGAGTCCTAAAATGCACGTGTGTGAGTGGCAGGGTTTCCTTCTTTAAAAGGGCAACTTAGCCTTTGTGATTTTTTTCCTTGGTTGTATTGGGCTGGCAGAAGGAGAGAAAACAATGCTATAAGCCTTCTTTTGGTGTTGCCTCAATACAGATGAGTGAAATCAAAATTACCCCCAGATCCAACTTGCTTTCAGTTACTTTTGGCTATTGCAAGGTTACTCTGTGAGACTGAAATTTTCTCTCTCTCACAGAAGCTGTGGAACAGAATTCACATAGCAACAGCTTTCTGAAGCATGTCTTCTACTCTCCCCCCTAAAAGTGGTTCTAAATATGTGACAGTGGCCTTGTGACAGAGCCAGTAGAGTGGCTCTAAATGTGATTCAGGGGCCCTCTGAAAGCAGTCAGGGATCCCAGGGCTTGTTTTGTTGGCTTTCTGTGAACAGGAAGGTATTTAGTGTCCTCCTCGTGTTGTACATGTGTGGTAAGCACAGGCAAAGAGAATCATGGAATGGGCTGGGTGGAAAGGGATATTTAAAGATCATCTCTACCCCTGCCATGGACTGGTAGGATCAGACAAGCACCAAGTTCTTAGTTTCTAACAAACAGGGGTGGATGCTACTGGTTACACACCCTACCTCCACATGTGCTATTCTGTAGCCAAGAGACAACTTTCAAGAGGATAAAGTTTTACAGTCTTTAAAGTCTTGACATTCATCTCTCTTCTTCCTGCCCACCCCCCTCCACCCATGCCCCCCCTTATTCTTCACTTCTTCTTCTGCCTCAAGACCTGAGATGGAGAGGATTCGGTTTCATTTCCAGACCCATTTGCATTTTATCTTGTGTGATAAGACAGCCTCCCACACAGGTGCTTGAATCTCTTCTTCACTGTGTGCTGTTTGGACAGAAGTCTGAGGAGAAGTAAGGCAGTCCCTGACTGTCATCCTGAAATTCAGGTGTAGGATTTTCTCCAGCAGACCTGCACCATTTCCACTGTCATTGTTTTGCTGAGATGTACGAAGTCAGGACACCCTTTTTGCTCCTTACAGCAATTAATAAATAGTTGCCATAGTTATGCCAAGTGACATTTTTCCAGCCTCACAATTTGTTCCACAGGGAAGTTGCATCTTCCCTTTTCCCAGTGCTGGTAGCAAAATCTGCCTCTCTCAGCCTGCACACTACATCACCCTTTGTGGTCCCAGCCTTCCTGACTCCTTCTGCACCCCCTGCACAGAGGGAGTTTTGGATTTAGTGAAGGACTATATTATTCTGTCTCAGAAATCTGCAAAGAAAGTTTTACAGGTCATTTTATAGTTCTTGGGTTTCTTTGCTGTATCTGTAAATAGCAGACGACCTGGATTTCTCTCCTTTGGGGATTTCTGAATGCTCAATGCTGTAAATCCTGCCTGTCTGTGTCGTCAGGTAATACTGAAAAATAAATTAATACATTTCAATTAAATCAAAAATCTAATAAGCAGGAGGCTGTGTACAAAATATGGGACTGTAGATCAACAAGGAAGCTTGTAGAAATGTTTCTCTTTTATAACTGTAGTGGCAGGATGACTTGGAAACAATTTTTACTTGTAAAAAATATCTTATAGATGCTCTGTCTTGGGAGCTATGATTCAACCAGTTTATGAATCTAACCCATTTTTCAGAATTAACTGACTAGGTAAGAACTTGGGCTCTTTACTCTCTCTAAATTTTATATACTTTGTACTCTCCCTTAATATTTTAAGAGAGCTTGAACAATTTCCCAAGGGTAAGACTGCATTCTTTGCAATCGTCCCACAAAATTTATTAGAATTATTCTTACTAATGTCTTTCTAAAGAGACAATTACCCAGTGGAGGAAAATTACATTATTGCTTTGTCCAAGCCATTGGCCAATGCTGGGATAAAATTTCCTGAGAGGCTTACAGGACACCTTCCCCAGTGTTGAGCTGGCTGTGATGCCTCAGCAGCTGAGAGCAAAATGCTCACCTGGTTGTGGGGGGGTTTCTGCTGCTTCCAGCAAGGCTGCTGCCCTGCAAAGCCCATGTCAGTCATTTCACTCAGTAATTATTCCAGGGTCACAGAAAGGGTCTCACACCTCATCTTGGGAAGCCGTGATTCTGAGGACAAATGTTTTTACTGGCATCACCTGAGGTGGAGGAGCTGTGTCAGTATTTTGGCTCTGTTTGAGGAGCCAAATCAATTAAATTTTCTCACTGGAAGGCCAGATTCTTTGTAGAGGCTTCCCAGAACAGGTCAGTGTTCTCCTTCCCTCAGCAGCATAGTTCACACCCTCCTTGAGTTCTTGATTTGCTGCCTGCCCGAGAGGTAAATGAATTTAATGGTTTTTTAACACCTACGCTGTAGCCTCCTCAGTGTTCTCAGCACCCAGTGCTGGGATGGTTCCCAGAATCTGGGACCTATACCAGAGAAACTCTTGTAATGGCCACTGGACAGTCCTGCTTTATGGGGCTTGTAATATCCCTTATCATGGGGAGCTTTTCCCCCACCTTCCCTGGAGCCATCAAAAATAAGATGTTCTCCCAGCAGAACCAAAACTTCCCCAGTTCGGGTCAGCAGAGCTGTGTGGCCATGATCACACTTACTGAGAAAACTGGGTTTGAGTTGTGGCAAAGAGCAGGCTAAAAGTAAGGCTAAATAGCCTAAAGCCATCCATGAAGAGAAGAGATGGAATAAAATTGTTGTATTTTTAATATTAGAAGCTACAGGATTCCTGTAGAGGAGCTGTGTGCACCTCATTTCTGCTCTGAAGCCATCTGAGTTCATAGAAAGGTCCCTGGATTTCTTGTGCCTCCCTGCTAGGTTGCAGAAAGCTGTACTTGCACTTGTTTTCCTTCCCAGGAGTATCTGGAGACCTACGATCATCGTGCCCTTGCTGCCTCACTGTATTTAAATGCAAGCTCCTCAAGACTCTCTGCAGAATTTTTGTAATACTTTAACAAATCCCAGATTGTTCTCCTCAGTCTTCTACTTTATCACTTTCTTGAAATGTGGGCAGCAAAGCAGCTTGTAATATTCCCAAAACATTTGTACCAGTATTAATGCAGAATTAATAGAGGAGGAACAATTACTGTCTGCATTTTATCCTGACAGAAGGCTGGAATTTAATTACATCAATTCAGGAAGAAGTTTTTATTTCTTATATGGTGATAGCCTAATATTCTTATAGATTTCATATATCAAATCAGCTGTAAGGGGTATGTTTAAACTGCAGCATTTTCCCACAGATTAAGCTTAGACTTAAAAGCTCATCCAGATACTAAGCAAAAATATAGAGCATTGCTCTGAGCAGGTTTATTTTTCAATTTAAATTTAGATTTGATTTGTGAAGCCACAGTAGTTGCACATTCCAAAGCAGCACAAGCAGTTCTATGTGATTTTAGTATTTATTGGACATTCTGCCCCAGATTTTCTATGTTCACACACACAGAGTCAAGGTATATTTGTACAATCAGTGATGAAAAAAAAGACACGTTTTGACTTAGTTCATTTGATTGTCCTCGTGGGGAACACTTGGCTATTACCTTTTGGCTAATCAAGCTCTATTCGGTGCTCCCTCTTTTCCAAGCAGTGTGAACCTTCATGGAAAAACCATAATTTATGGAGCAATTAGTCAGCTGGGAAAGACTGACTACAGGGATAATTAAAAAGCAGGGAACTTTTTCAGCTGTCAAACCGTTGACAGCAATTGTATAAATGGGTAAATTACAATTCTTTTGGTAATTCATATTTGTTTGGCCTGGAGCAATGCAGATGTTTTGCTGTTGTGCAAAGCAAACACTCAGAGATGTGAACAACAGATACAAATTAATTGTCTTTTCAAGTGGAAAACATTCTTGGGAAACATCAAGCATTTAACTAATACCACTCAACAAACTGGAAATTCCCCATGCTGGTGTGATTCCCACTGCATGGGGAATATACACTAATTCCAATAAAATGTTGTTTTTCCAAATCAAAAAATGCTTATGAAAGCTCTTCTTTAGGGAGAGTGTAGCATCAGCATTTCATGAATGTACGTGGCAGGGGAAAACATCCAGGACTGAAGGAAAATAGACCTGTTGGTTCAGATGATTTTAGCTCAGCTGATTCAGGACACAACCTCCAGCCAATCTGTCTCTGTTTTCATGAACAAATATAAATTCATCAAGAATTAATCACTTGTGATTTTGCTATTACAAACAAACCTGAAGGTCAGGCGATCGGGGGGAAATTGCAGTTGACTGCCAGAAACCTTGGCATCTCTGATAGCTGAATATTTTGGGCAGATGAAATGTAACCTGCTGTGGTGCAGCAAGACAGAGGCGTGCAAGAGTGGGCTGGCATGGATCATGAGGAATCCAGGATGCTTCAGTGGCAAGTAACAGGGGACCCGAGCCAGGGGATAGAAATATAATCTGCTGACATTGCTTTCTGTTTAAAAAAATTAGGGGAAAAACCCTATCTATGACCACTTCCCTATTCCTTTTCCTCTTTTCTCTGCACGGTGAGATCTTGCACCTCTTTAGTACTTCCCTCCAAAAACCTCATGAAGGAGTTTCTCACACACCCTCCCCTTCAAAGACACATTTGATGGTCTTTGGTATCGCTTCTCCCGAGTTTCTGTGCTCCTAAAGCACCATTTCAGCATCTCAGTGCTTCTTTCTATTAATGTTCTTCAGCTTGCATGGAGCCCTGCTCTCCTGGGGATGGCTGCACACCTGCCTGCCCATGGGAACTGGTGAATTAATTCCTCATTTTGTTTCGCTTCTGTCCACAGCTTTTGCTTAGCCCATTGAAGTGCCTTTATCTTTTTGTCACTTTTACTCTTCCAACTCTCTGTCTGACCCCACTGCTGGGGGAATGAGCACATAGCTATGTAGTTGCCAGCTGAGATGAAACCTAAGCCACGACACGAGAGCTGAGATAATTTCTTGGTTCTTTAGATACTGAAGGGAATTTACTGTTGTAAAAACATGACTGATGGGTTTTTCCCCCACCCTCATCTCCTGTTCCTGTCTATATGGACCTCGTCTGGAACCCCAGCAAGCTTTTCTGGTGAAACATTGCTCCCATACCCCCACTCTGTTTTCTTTTGGCAGCTCCATGGTTCATTTGGCTGAGCCCAAGCCATGGTGGGACCGCTGTGCCAAATTAATTTTTGCTGGGAGACCTGGTGCATTTTCAGTGCTGCTGGGGCTTCTTGGTGCCCAAAAGAGAAGGAACAGGTGAGGTGACACATGATGCAATAGCAGTAGGTGGGATCCGTGTGTTGCTATTGTGTCCTTGGTGTAAAGGCAGAGCTGCACTGGGACGTGGAATTAGCAAGTAAAAATAACCCCCTGGATAGACACCGTGCCACCCTTATGATCAGTGTGTTCCTTTGCAAGAACTGGCTTTTTCTAAAATAGAAGTAATGATTCAATTACTCTGACACCAAAATATGAGTTGTCTCCTAAACCAAATTAAAGCAAGAAGAGAGATATCTAATTATTAAGCATATAAATCTTGCTTTCAACGGCCCAGATTTGCCTCACAGTGCATTACAGGCTCTAAGCTGTAGGTCTAATTTAGTGATAGAACAAACTACTGAAAAAGAAAAAAAAATTACAGAACAGATGAATCATTCTCACTGCAGGAAAGTATATTTAATGTTACAGTGAAATTATTGCTTTATCATAATTTTAATTATTTTTATTTAACTTTTAAAAAAGGGTCTTCCATGTTATATTATGCAAGTTTAAGCAATAGGAATTTGAGCTGCAGAAGTGTGAGAAATTTATTCTTATTTTTTAAACTTTCCTAAGACTTAGAACAGGTGGAATATAATGACTGCATCAGGTTATTTTAAAATTTGATCATAGAATCCTAGAATGGGCTTGGTTGTGACAGGAATGAGGAGGTGCTGACTCCTGACTAAATGATGAACTTAGTGTGTTTCTGGAAAAAACATAAAAAGAAAATTTACAGCTTATATTTTCTGTTAAGCTTCTTTTTTTGGATTTGCAGTCAATTTATATGTCTGTTTGCCATACGCTGGAATACAGAAGGAAAAATTGCCCCTGGAACACAGAAGGAAAAGTTGCCTGAGTGTTCATTTTTCTTTAGAAAAGCTGGTAATGCCTCCTGTTCAATCCTAATTCAACAGAAATTCACTGTTTCATCTAAATGCAAATGCCACACCAGGAATAGGCTGGTAAAACTTGTCAGGAACGGAAGTCCCTAAGTTGTCACCTTCCATGAATGCACTTTTCTTTAAAGGGGCAGCAAAAAAAGTTGTGAAAATGCCTGTACAAGTGCAAGGAAAGTGGTGTAGAAGCTGAGTTAGCTGAAAATAGATTTAACCTCCTGCTGTGCTGGAAAATTATTTGTCACATGAAGACCACTTGTCAAATAGAAGTCCCTTTACAATACAGGAGGTTCAGTAATTGCTGCAGTTCTTCAACCCCTCTGGCAGAGGTCCCTGGAAGTTAAACTTTTCCAGATGCTGCCACTTTCCACACCTGCCAGGGGGAATTTCTAGCCAGCAAAGGAAAATGTGGCCTTTGGTAGACGTTCAGAAGTGTTGCCTTACGCTGTTGCCACCAAGAGGCTGCAGCAGAGAAGAACATTCATTCCTGCCTTGGAGCAATGTGTGAATCAGAGCTGGGGCTTCCAAATCCACGCGCTAGGATTTTCCACATCATCCGTGTCATGGCAGAGAAACACAAGATTGGTGCAAAGGGAATTCTGAATGTCATAATTATACACCAGGTAAAATATATATATTACTTGGTTCAATGAGAAAGCAAAACTGAAATGTCAACATGTTTGCATGCAGGCTTCCACACTGGTCCTTTCAGGAATGCCAAGAGGAAGACAGAGTTAAGAGAACTGCTCAGCTGATTCTTGTGGCAACAGCAACTAAGTACCAGTTACTTACTTCCCCCATGCTGATCTGCTGGGGTGAGGTGAGAAAAATAAGAAAAGAAAAAGGGGGGGAAGAAAAGGCAAAAGTAAGAACAGCTTAATAGGTAGAGCAAAGTAAAATATAAAAAGAATTACTATATTAAGGAAAATAAGAGAAAGGAATAAAACCTAAGAGAGAAATAAACACCACTCCCCACTGAGTGATGCCCAGCCCATTCTTGAGCAGCTCACAGCCAACTCCCAGTTTATAAGCTGCTATGGAATATCCCTTTGGCCAGTTTGGTTCATCTTGTCCCAGTTTTTTGTACACCCTGCTCACTGACAGACCATGGGAAACCAGGAAATCCTTGATTTAGGGTAAGCACTACCTAGCAACAACCAAGGCATCCATGTGTTATCAATGTTGTTCCCATTCTAAATCCAAACCCCAGCACTGCCTCAGCTCCTGGGAAGAAAACTCCCTCCATCCCAGCTGAAACTGGGACGCAGATCCCTCTTGGTGTTGCTCTGTAATAGCAGGACATGCTGCAGTCTCCCAAGATAATTATTGGAGGTTAGTGAGCTACACTATGAATTCTGGAGTTTGAGTTATTTTAAGGGCCATCCTGAGCAACATTACTTTGCCTTCTGGGCAAAATAATTCCAGCATTGCTCAGAATCTTGTTTAAGTCCTTGAGAAATAAATATCCTCTGCTTGAACCCTTTAGTTAAAAAGATGGGCGAAAGGATTAAACACATTGATAAAAAAAACTAGGTTTGGGACAAAAATATGGCTGAGAGTTGTCAGAGCAAAAAGTGTTAATCTAAACCTTCCTTTTTCTCAAGCATTTGCTAGCAAGAAATGCTGGAGGAGCCTTGAGAAGCTTTGGGGTGACCTAATTATGGCCTTCCAGTACCTGAAGATGTCCTACAGGATAAATGAAGAGAGAGTATTTACAAGGGCCTGGAGTGACAAGACAAGGGAGAATGGCTTCAAACTGACAGAGAGTAAGTTTGAGTATTGGGATTAAATTCTCCCATGTGAGGTTTCCCAGAGCAGCTGTGGCTGCCCCATCCCTGGAAGTGTTCAAGGCCAGGTTGGATGGGGCTCTGAGCAACCTGATCTAGTGGAACAAGGTGATCTTAAAGGTCCTTTCTAACCCAAACCATTCTATGGTTCTTTTATATGCATCTCATCTGTGCAAAATTTTACAGGTTGTTTTTCAATGGGTGTTTCCCACAACTCTCCACTCACCACATCATGTTTGGAAAACAGTGTTTGAGCTCAGGCATAGCATTTAGACAACAGGGATTCTCCCTATGGATCAATCAGAAAGCTAAAATATGATGTGGAATTTATTGGAGAGAAAGGAATTTTGTAATGCCTTTCCAAATTATAAATCTAACAGGGAGAAAGCTTTTTTTCAGTCACTTTTGAAGGAGTCTCAGACTTTATGCCTCTCATGTATTTGTATTAGGAATTGTTTGGAACCTGTGACTGTTCTCTTGGGTTTGTGAGGAGAACAAGGAGGCTGGGATTTTGCCAGATCTCAGCTGTGCAGGTCAAGAATATGTATTTGGTGTTGTTCTCAAGGATTATTTTTCCAGCTTGTGGACTGCTCTATTAATATGATGAATGCAGTGTGAGACTTGTGGATGAGAGAATGTGAGAGAGCTGTCAGCACTCCCTTCTGAAGCATTTGGATAGTTTGGGAGCTGCTTTTGTGACTGATGGATCTGCAGTCCTCAGTGGAAACACAGAGCTTTAGCAGTGGACTCTGCCAGCCTGAGAGAAGGGGATGATGCTGAGAAGGAAAGTGCAGTTTGGTCTGGCTTACAGCCTGCAAGGGAAGAATGGACACCAGCACTGGCTGGCTTTTGCACTGGCTTTTTGTTGTTGGACTTTCTCTTTGCAAGCAGCTGCTGGATGTTTGCAAGGGGCTCAAGATCCGCTGAGCGTGCGGCGTGGTACACAGAGCGAAAGGATGCAGCTCACAAGCTGGGAGTTACCTGCTGAGCAGCTGCTCCCGCAGAACAGCTTCTGCAAGGAGGGGGCCTTGCTGGAAAAGCTGCATTTTCTTTTGCAGCCTCCAAACTGCACGGCCAGCATGGCAAGGGCTCCCCTTCCTGCCCTGCAGCATGCGGGAGCCCGTGCTGCGGGAGGCAGCCCCCGAGAGCCGGGATGCGGGAGCGCTCCTTTTCCCCGCCAGAGCCGCCACGGGACGGCGATGTCTCCTCGCCAGAGAAGAGAACGCTCCGAGCCCAGCTCGGAAACAGCCCCCGTGCGCTAAAAATGTCCCTGCTCTCCAATCAGCCGTGTCGGGACCAAATTCCGCCCATCTTCCCCTTCCACGGACTGACTCCTGTTTGCGCCGCGCTCAAGCGGCGGCACGAACTGCTTTGCTCTGGGAAATCTTTTCGCTCTCGCAGAGTCTGGCTACAAACTTGAAAACATCAGGCACAGGCAGAGCTCAAAAAAGTGCCAGCTGAGAAAGCTCTTGCTGCTTACAGCTTCAGCTGCACCCAAAGAGCTAGCAGCACACCCCTGGCACCTGCACTTGCCTTCTCAGCTCTGTGTATCTCATCAGCATCCTTTAGTCTCACAGGGTCTAAACTGAACAGCGCCTGAGGCTGCTCCGACTGTAAAGGTACCAGGACAAAAAGCTCAACAGCTTGGCTTTTGCCTTCCCACCTCGACAGCTCTAGCCCATAGAAGTGCCTTTTAGGAAAAGCCATGAAACCCACTAAGACCGCACAATGTGCACAACCAAAGAGAGGAGCTATAAGACATCTCTTGCTGTAGTTAACCTGCCCATGGTACCTCATCATTAAATGACTCTGAGTCAGTACCTGGCCTTCAGTACCATTGCCTG